TTCAATTACATCATTATCACTTACACAATAGTCTTGGTTGCTCAATTTAGACTAGTTAGGTTCTGGACTCTAGTTCTGATTCACAAAGGTAAGACTCTAAGCCTTTAGACAGCTGGTCAATTAATACAAAGGGGACTCAGATCTGGAGTCCTGGATGGGTTGATACAAAGGAGACAGTAGTAGAGTTGTTTATAAAGGACTAGTAGCTACAAAGGACTGATAATTTCTATAAATACCCTTATGTATTTCATACTTAAGTAATCAAGTTACTCTCTACTGTGACTCTTAGTGTGTAGTTTGACAGTCTCCTTAGTAAACATTCCCTCTTGCCTTGTCTTGTCTTATATTGCCTTGTTCTGAAGTGTGGCTTTGTCATTCTGTACTACTCTTGTCTTGTTAATTGTCACCTTCAGAACTTGTACATTCTGCTCAGATCTACCTATTCCTTCTTACTCTTGACCCCTCTTAGTGTCTGTACCTTACAGACTCAACTGACCTCTTCTACCTCAACTGGTACTTGAGATCAACAGTACTCAGGTTCAATAATGTCCTTATTAGAATGCTTGAAAAAGCTTTTCACCTAGAACTAGTTGATAAGATTCTTAGAATAATGCTAGAACTAGTCACTTACACTGAGTAGAAGATGTACACTATCTCCTTCAACCAAGCTACAACTTGGATGTACTAAGTCTGTACAGAACACTCACACATGTGTTCAGCTCCAACAGTTCTGAGCCCTCAGATTGATCCACTTGTAATTTACAATCAATCTGTTCTGATGAACATTAGAGAAGCCTAAAAGTAAGGAGCATACTTTGCCTGTAGAAAGTCAGGGCACTAGATTAAGAACTGTCTGTAGAAGTAATAGTATATCTGTCAGATCATTAGAGTAATAATGAGTGACAAACAGGATTTGTAGTAAGAAGCCTTTTCTACAAATCTGAAAGTCATCTTAGAACTCTCAGACTCTGACTACATACTCTAGAATTTTGTAGAGGCCTAACAGTAAATACAGTACTAAAGGGCTATGACTCAGATTTTTTAACAGTCACTTTTGATTCAATAGACACTGTAGGATTAGAAGTAAATAAAGTAAGAAAAGTAGAAAAAGTAGAAAAAGTAGAAAAAGTAGAAAAAGTAAATCAACAAAATTATTTATTAGAAAGAAAAAAGTCAAAAACAAAAGTAGATAGTTCTCCTATTTCTTCTGATTCTTTTGATTCTTCTCTTTACACTTTATCTGAGTTTAAATCTGTACAATCTAACCTACTACTTCTACATTCTAAGATCTTAGAATGTTCAGAATGCTACCTAGCCCTGTTTACTACTCAGTAGTTTGTCTGTAGTATTAAGTAGAGATAGTCTTAGCTGAGTTTACAGCTGAGGACATAGGTCTGTCCTTGTTGAAAGAGAGAGGTTAATAAGGAAATGTTAGTGTATATACTTACCCTCTTAGACAATAAGACTGTACAAGCTGTATGTTCCCTTCAGAACAAGTAGTAGTTCATTAGAGAATGTTCTAAGTACTAGCTCTAGGTCCCTGTCCTCTTGGCTCCCTTCTCAGGATTCCCTTAGATCTGAACAATAGTTCTAGTAGACAGTAGATACACTAGTTTGTACATTAACAAGGCCTTCATGTAGGAACACTACCTTCTTACTTGACATGTTCTACTTCTGATCCTAGTATATAATGTAGACAGAACCCTGAACCAGAATAGTCAGATTACTAAGTTTGTCCAACTACAGATGACTATTCAGGATTATAAGGAAAGTATTGAGTTTAGAGTTACTAACCTTAGAAAGACAGACATCTTTATCAGATTCAAATAGCTTAAGGCTTACAACCCTACTATTGACTAGTTAGAGTAGACACTTGTGTTTAATCAGTGTCTCAAGTCTTACAACTACCTTACACTACTGTTCTAAGTAGATGTAGACACTTCTAATGTTACTAACAGTTCTAATGAAGGTAACTAGTTGTTCTTCTTTGACTAGGATAGATATGTAGATACATATTCTAGTCAAGGCAGAATAGAGTTGATCTGAAGAATGTCTGAGACAGAACCAGTCTGGAACCCTCTCAGAACAATTCTACTCTAGAATGTACATAGACTCAGTCTGCTGGATTTCATTCAAGAGTTCTCTAAAGTCTTTAGTGAAGAGGAATTCAACTAGCTTCCTGAATACTATCTCTAGGACTATACAATTGAATTGACTAAAGGTTTCTAACCTAAGGATTGTAAGGTCTACCTACTCAACAGAGACAAGTAGGAGGTGCTTGATAAGTTCCTTCAGGAAAATCTTCAGAACAGTCAGATCTAACCCTTAAAGTCCCTTATAGCCTCCCCTTTCTTCTTTGTCAAAAAGAAAGATAGGAAGCTCTGTCTAGTCTAAGATTATTATTGTCTCAATAAGGGTACTGTCAAAAACAAGTACCTACTCCCTCTGATTCAGGAGCTCATTAATAAGACACATACATTCAGGGTTTTCACTAAGTTGGATGTTTAATAAGGATACAATAATATTTGGATCTAAGACAGAGATGAGTAGAAGGCTGTGTTCTGAACCAATTACAGATTGTACAAACTGACTATAATGTTCTTTAGACTAACTAACTTGCTTACAACATTCTAGTCATTCATGAATCACATCCTTACAGATCTAATTAACTTAGAGTATGTTAGTGTGTATCTGGACAACATTCTGATCTTCACCCAGACAGTCAAGCACTATTACTAACTAATCTGAGTAGTTCTACAACAGCTCTAAGATAATAAACTGTTCCTCTAAGAAGTAAAGTACTCTTTTGTACAAGAGTTAGTAGATTATCTAGGCTTTGTAATTGGTGGAGGAGAGGTCTGTATGAATCTGGCAAAGGTAACTGTAGTTTAGAACTGGCTACAACTTCAGAACCTGAAACAGGTTCAAGCATTTCTTAGGTTTACCAGAAGAGTTGGCTTCAACTTAGAACTTGTCTACAACTGTCAGAACTACTAATACAGGCTTGCTAGTGATGGCCTGCTTGAGGGACTCAAACACAGACTACTACTGATCATTCTATTACTAAGGAGCATCTTTACTAGTAAGATTGTAAAGGGGCCAGGCAATAGTACTAAAGTCTTGAATAAAGTATTAGTAGTAGTTTACTTTGTAAACAGAGTAGTACTGTTCTAGTTTATTGATAGAAAGTAGTGTCTAATAGTGTTCTAATCAGAATCTCTCTCTGTAACAGAATAGAACTACCCTATCTATAACAAGGAACTCCTTACAATTGTCTGTTCCCTAGAGGAGTAGTGTCAATATCTCCTTAGTGTTACACAGAAGTTTAAGATTTAGAGTGATCACCTTAATCTTTAGTACTTCCAGACACCTCAGAAGCTCAACTGCTACTAAGCCTGTTAGATGTTAGAACTGTAAGACTATGACTTTGTACTGACCTACAAACCTAGAACACAAATGACAAAAGCTGATTTACTCTCAAGACAAGTAGGTCATGAAAGGAGGGAGAATGATAACAAAAATCTTGTTCTCCTAGACAATTCCTGTTTTGTGTCTGAGACAATCCAAGAGATCTGACTCAAATCTGAGAATGTTGACTTTGTCACCTACATACAGTAAGCTCTGAGACACATGTAGGACCAGGTTATAGTAAAGTAGCTAGAGAAGCAGGCTAGGGATTAGGAGAAGGATAAGGATGGATAGGTTTACTAGGAAGGCTGACTGTATGTTCTAAAGGATTGGAAGCTGTAGGAGGACATTGTCTGAGCTTATTATAACAATCTGAGATTTCTATCAGCTTCATCCTAGTACTCTACACAAACTCAGTCTTACAGATTTCTAAGCCCTACTGTTCTGACCTATGTCCAAGCTGCTGACTAAGCCCTATGTTCACCAATTGGGACAATTGGTTTTAGAGGGGGGGTAATGTTACAGTTCTCTACTCTTGTACCTTCAGTTCTAAGGGTTCTACACTCTTCTGTACTAGAACTTAGAACTTCTGTCCCTTAAGAGTACTGTTTATAGACTATATGTATACTAACTCTTACTACTACCCTTCCTTACTTTATCATTCCATTCCTTTAACCACCCCTTCATTCTTTGTTCATTCTATAGTCTATTACCCTTTGTCCATCCCTTCATTCTTTGTACCTTTATCTTTGACCTTCCCTTCTTTCATTCTTTGTAGCTTATCATTCTTAGTAGCTCATACTCTCTGAGTACTCTTGTGTAGTTTAGTATATATAGGTATACAAGATCAGACTGGTCCTGTAGTCTTGATCTTGTCTACTCCAGGTAGTCCTATACTCTTAGGCTTACTCTATATACTCTACTCTTGTCTCACTCTCTCTCTCTGCCTGTTCTACAAGTTCTGACTATGTTCTGGTGCTTACATTCTGTATTTCTGTTGTGTAGGATAGTTGTAGCCTGGGTCCCCTTGCTGAGCCTTTGGGTCCCCTCTATACTGTTACTGACACTCCTAGCATAAATCCTAGCTGGTAGCTTTGGGAATATAGTTGGTTTAAGGGCTGCAGGTCTACATTCACAGTTTGAGAGTACTATCAACCTAGAGAACACATCTCCCCTAACAGGTCCATTAGGTCTAGGACTGAACATTAGCAACTATACTATGTTCAATCAGAGAATCAGGCAGCAGATATCCTTACAAAAGTCTTATACACTACACAGATCAAGCACCTCATCAATCTTATTAATCTTAGCATACAGGTTAGTTAGATTGTTCAGGCTTGCAGGGGAGTGTTTGACCCTTAGGGACTTAGGGTCAACACATATATAAAGAGTAGAGTAGCATTCTTAAAATTTAAGTGTTGTGTCTCCCCTACATTCTTTCACCTCCACACAAATGGGTTTGTTTACCTCAGTTCTTACCATTACCAGTGTTCTTTCACTGTAATATTGATAACACATAGACTGACAGTACATTAATATTCTCTGTTCATTATTTTAGCATCTCACCTGCACATTTAATACAAAAGATTTGTTCAGGAATCAGAAGAGTAATTAGTTACATTTGAAACATTGTTTTCCTTCCATGCCTTAAACTCCATTTGGTTCCTCTCTGCTTCCTCATACACTTTTGTCCAGTCATGGCAAACCATGTCATATTCTCGTGAGGCCTGGCCTGCAGGATTCTTCACAGACTCCAGCCAGAGATTCGGCCTACACAAGACAGTCTGGCGCAGATAATTTAGACAGTGTCGCACAAGCATGGACGGTCTCTCTACTGGAGGAGAAAGGTAAGCTTCACGAAGGATGTCAAGACACTTCATCTGATGAAACAAAGTGACGGTGTATGGCTTCGGCCAAGACCTGGAATCTGCATTGACAAAGACAACGTGGCCCTGTGACGGAACGAGTCTCTTCCACTCTTCTGCCCCTTCTGTAGTATTAAGCTCGTAGCGTATGGACGTTGCGATATGCATTGCTACAAGTTCGCGATTTTCAACATTGAAAGTATGTAGGGCTACGTCATACTGTTCAGACCACCAATGTTGTTGCTGTAAGGATTGATTGGACAAACGAACCTGATTTTTGTTGTCCTGAATAGAGCCCAGAGGCTTGTAAGTGTCCTGGTCCAGCCGAAAACAGAAGTAGATATATGCCTGACAAAGCTGTGACAATATAGAGTAGTGCTGGCAGCAGATATTGTGGGCGACGAGGTGTTCCAAGCATACTAGTACTGTAAAGCCTTGGGGTTGTAGTTACGAGTGTATACATTCCGCTCTGGTTATTTCAGTTAGAAGCATTATGCCACCCTTGAAACTACATCAGCTGAGATGTGATTTCACAACGCCGCATGCTGCGCAGCATATGGACCTCAGGAGCATCATGATTCATCAGAGTTATCAAGTCGCCGTAGGTATTAGGTTTTGCTGATCCGACTTACTCTCGGAAGTTGGGTCTTCATCCAGGTAGATTGAAAGATGCGAACCAAGATGTCTAGATGCAGGTCCCTTTCGGAGAAAGTGTGAATCCGTGTAATGAGAAGCAATCCCTTGTACAGGTATCGTTCAACACTTTCTCACAAGAAAATTATTAATACTAATAAAATCTGCCCAGCTACATTGTCTATCGTTCCTGAACCTACTTTCAGGATGGCACGCATCTCTTCCTGTCTCTGGGCTTTGACTGCCTTGAACGTGCTTCTAATGGCATGGAAAATACGACAATACATAGTTTTTAGTCCACAAAACAGTATGTAACTGTTGAGAGGGGTTATGTGAGAGGCTTAGAGGGATCACACAAAGAGGGGGGATAGTGGACTTGGCTTGCTCTACTTAGCGTCATTGTCCGTTGATTCAGTAGGTATATATAATATGTAGCTATGTCTCAGGTACGTCCATTGCTTATATGTGTCATTCCATATATGTTAACACTCCCCTTCAAACATATATTAGTTTAATAATATGTTTGTTTTGCAACTATTCGTTTATTTGATTTGTAGTTATTTTTATTTTTATTTTTAGGGGTAGTTATAGTACTGCTACCACTCCCCTTCAAACATTTATAAGTTGGCCAGACCTATAAGATGTTTGATTTGCAGATCGTTCCAACATTTTTATTAGTATTGTATCTGCATTGTACATTGTGTCTGTATTATATTTGCTTGTGTATTGCATATAATAATATCATTTGTATAATATAAATGTGTTGTTTGTATTGTATATTTTGGTCCACTGTGTGTTAACTTCATACTTTGTTAGATATTTATTAAGTTTTTGTTTGCTGTTGTGTCATTAGTTCTGTAGTTTGTTCATCATTATATTATTAAGTCATTGTTCATTGTCTTGTAGACTGTTCAATGTGATTGAAATTGTTCAGAGTTAATTTGAAGTTTGTACATAGTTTACTGTTTAATGACAGTATTGTTTTCACAATAAATTGTTTGAAATCATTATTAATATCATATATGCTTCAGAGACCTGCAGAATCTCATGAGTGCCATGTAAGATTGTAATGCATGTGTTTTATTTATTAAGTTTGTTCGAGTATTACTAGTAATTTCTTTTTACTTTGCTGTGAAACTAATGAATCATACTAGTAAAATGTATATCTGGTGTTGCAATGATATCCTTCTTTAATCATTGTTGTCTGCATTTGTTTACATTCATATATATGTTAAGTATTCAGCAATAACTGATTTATGTCTTCAGATTGAAGCTTTACATCAATCGTATGTTGTAATATCAATAATGTTATTCGTTTTTGCCAGATCACTTCATTCTGAGATCAATGAGGTTTTATGCTAACATATATTTGTTGTATAGATATTATATCTGGCTGCAGACAGCTTACTATGTGTTTAGGTGTATCATATATATATTATATCATGAATGTATTGTTTGTTTGTTTGCTTTATGTTATTGTTTATATTTATATATTAATGTTGTGTTCTGTAATGAATCGTTTCTGATGCATCCTGAGTAACTATGTGATCTGTTGCATTATTTCTTTAATAGCCAACATAATTATCCGTTGTAAATTGTTAGTAACGTGTGTTTGTATTATTTGTTGTTAACAGTGTTATTGTGAATTGTTGTGATTGTAATGTCATGAATATTTATTAGTATTATGACTATTGTTCTTTGCTTTTTCTTTTGCAAAGAATAGTGCATTGTAACACAATCTACATATAAGTGATATATTAGATTATGTTTACTATAATAGTCTCCTAGCATACTTTAGTTAATCTAGTAGTATGCACAATTGTAGTATTTGTTCAACATTTTATTTGTTAATTGATTTGCTAGGTAAAGTATTTTATATATTGGTTTTATTTATTTTATTTGAATCATTGTATAGATATACTTATTAGTATCTATCCAATGTATTTCATAATGTTATAATACTGTTCACACTTGTATTAATTGTGTAGTGAGGGCAAATTAATTGTTTGTACAAGAATCAATTTAATAGTTTTATTTGATTATATGTATGTGCTTCATACTTGTTTGTATAGTTATTATCTTTGTATTGTTTGATTGTAGTTACAAATTATATTGCAATTATATTTGTATTATTGTATGGATATATTATTTATTGTTTTATGTACGTTCCAAAGTATTATTTTCATTATTCATCACTTTTATCTATGAACTATAGTCCAGATTGATGAATTATTTCATTATATGACATGATAATTGTCTGTATTTTATTTATTTTCGTATTAAACATTGTTAAGTTAATCAGATTATTATATTAATATTATTTGCCAAGTATGAGCATTCGTTTTGTAGTGGAATTATTATTTATTTAACGTTGAAGTTCAATTGTGTGTTGTGTTGACTTCTGTTATTTGTTCCAATCAATGTTATTTTGTATTGCATCAAATGATTTACCTTTGTGATCTGTTATATCTGTCTGTAACTTCTATTGCTTATTGTTTTTTAGGATCAGTAATAAGATCAACGTTTCTGTGTCATGAATATTCATTTGTTCATCTGCAGTTTTGTGTCATGAACGTTTGCACATTTGCTGTAAAGAACACTTTGGGAATATGTGCCATTTCTAGGCTTTATTATTATTAATTTATTAATTATCCGTTTGAGTAACTTTTATAAGCATTGAAAATGTTATGTGATGTATAACTTTTATATTCTTTAATAAGGTATTTTGCATTCAACAGATTTGTTGGATTCATCACAGATTTCACTTAGTGACATAGTCAATATGTCCACATTAAGAATTTGATGTTCATCATTAGTGTGTATATTATTCAATTACTCCCCTTCAATTTGAGAAGGCTATTCTTTGAGTAATTGACAAGTAGTGTAAGTACATAAGTACATTGTTGATTTCCTTTCATGTATTTGTAATCCAACAAGTAGTGTTAGTACTTTGTTGTTTTACTTTCGTGTGTTCGTCAGTATGTGTTATAATATAACAGTATGTTTTAAGTTAACTCGTAATGTTTGACATACATCATTTTGTTTAAACATTACACTGTAATGTTGTGCTGTTTGTTTTATAAATTTTAATGTGATGTTTGTAATATGTCTGTAATATTTCAGACATGCTAAGAAATCTCTCTGTGTGTTTGCAGTTACAACATCAGTTGCACATCTATTCATATCTCTGATAAGATGTAATAGATATGCTTGTGTCTGCTTTTCTTTATATATTATACTGTCCAAGATAATGTGTTAAACATTTTATTAATTTATTTAATCTTATTATATTATAATTGTTTTCGTTTGTAATCATTATAATAAGTGTGTCCATTGTAGTTTTTCTGTTGTTTGTTGTACTAGCCATATTAGCATAGTACTTCACTTGTATATAAGCTTTGTAGCTTCAATATAAGTTTATTTATGCTTTGTTAAAGTATATCTACATTCTGTGCAATTAAATATGTTCTGTTACATTGTTGTAGTAATGGTAGAGGTATTATTCTACCATTCACTGTTATTATACATTGTTATTATATGTTTACACTATCATAGGTGTAAAGTATTGTTATTTGTTTATTGACTATAATTGTGTACTCGTTCCTGTACCATAGTTACTGTAATGTACTTTGTAACTTTATTATTATTATTATTATTAATTTGTCTGTAGATAGTTGTACATTGTTTTATCTCATATCCAACATGTCCAACATATCTGAGACATGTCTTACATTAATTGTTTGGCTGTAATATCGAAATATGTGTTATTATTTTATTTATACTATAATATATGTGTATTCGTTGACAGTGTCAATCATTTGTGCTATTATAATATTAATAGCAGATGAGTAGCGTTTGCTTTCTCAATCCTTCTAACGTTTGTCTGTAGTATGATCAGTTATTTATAATAACATGATCTCTGTAATATTATAGAATATTTTAGTGATTAAATGTTGTAGTAAGTGATACTCATTGTAGTTTCAGCATTGCCTGCATATATTATGTTATTACTGGGCCAATGATCATAATCACTAAGATGACGATCATATAATGTCTGGGTCGTATGTAGTACAGTAGATCGTGTGTCTGCAGTGTATCAATTTGTGTTTGGGATACTCAGACAGGTGTGTCGAGTTCCACATCATAGTATGCTGCATGCATGCATGCAATGCGTAGAACTGCATAGAGCATAGACGTAGTAGAGTGTAGATAAAGCATAGACAGGGAGTGCAAGGCTCATAACCTGTTGAGAGGGGTTATGTGAGAGGCTTAGAGGGATCACACAAAGAGGGGGGATAGTGGACTCGGCTCACTCTACTTAGCATCATTGTCCGTTGATTCAGTAGGTATATATAATATGTAGCTATGTCTCGGGTACGTCCGTTGCTTATATGTGTCATTCCATATATGTTAACAGTAACATGTTTAACCCAACCCAAATGATTCATGGAATATACGTTCAATAGATTTTCACAGCTATGTTGGCAAGGATTATCCTCTCTACTATCTGACTGGTGGACTGGACAACGTTGCAATGACACTACAAGAGACAGTTCGACTTGACCTGAACAAATCAGATGCTATTGCAAACGAGGAGTGGAGAATGACCATTGCAGCTCTCGATACGTTTGGTCGTGCTCGCCTTGGGCCAGAATATCGCCTCTTTGTCGTTGCATTCTTCCACGAGCTTCACTGCCTCTACGAAATTCGTTCAGGTATACTTGATAGAAACGACTTTTCTGCAACTCCTCACCACTTATGCCATTGCTTTGACTACCTTCGCCAGTTGATGCTCTGCAAGGCAATGGACACACTTGAGGAAGGTGATTTCATGGAGAAAGATTTCGAGCAGGAACGGGTTGGAAGCTCTCTAGTCTGCAAGGATTGGGAGAAAGTTTACAGTTTGCTTAATGATGACAATAGGGCATGGCTAAAGTGGGCCAACTCATAAAGGTACCAATACAAAATCACAAATCAAGCACCGAGTTGAGAAACAATACTGTTTAGCCTATCTGAACTGTCTGTTACAATGCCCTACTGCCTCTGATACTTGCTTTTGCACTGTAAGGTCCTACATAGAGGAGGCTGATACAAAGAATTTATCATTGTTGCAAATTTACAGTATATATATTTATTCTGGGCTTACTACACTGTTGCATGCTGTGTGATATAGATAGCTAAGGAAAATTTTAATCAGTGTTCGTGACCCCCTTAGGAGGGTGTCAATGCTTACCAGTTCCAGGATTTTCTTTAGACTGCCACCATCCAATACTGCAGGGATTTTCTACAATTGATGTTGAACAGGAAAGCTCGAAGGCCAGCAATTCCTCGCTTTTACACGTAAAATTTGTGTGCCAGAACGTCGGATAGCCGAATTTAACATGAATGTCGCCTACGTTTGCAACCCTTCGTGGTTTTGAATAGTACGAAAGTGCGACAACGTTGAGGGGCGTGGAAGTGTCAAGTTGATGAACCGAAAGCGAGAACGATTGTTCTGGCTGCATGACTAGTTCAGATGCAGATGTGGGCACTGAGATGTGAAGCTGACAGTTCTCCATCCCGTAGTCGATTGCCCGGAATTGCGCAATAGTAGATACCTATCTTGTTTGAGCTCATTATTATTGTTATTGTGTATCCACGATTCCACGTACCGTTGCCGTGATCAACACCTGTCTGTCCTCTGGCGATATTGTTCCTGTCCGAACCAAGTGCCGTTTTGGGTCGACTTGGAACACCTTGGTAAGATTGGACTGATCGACTTGGGCAAGGACAATGGGATAGTTATTAAATTGTTTTGGAAGAGGAGGTTTTGGACGGCGAACTTCGTCAAAGCGAATGAACTGTGAAGGTCTGCGGAGAATATTGATGTCCTTGCGTGTAACAGTAAATCTACCAGCCGTTTGAGGGCTAGAGTGAAGAATAAGGGCGATGTTTACTATAGTGCAAAGGAAGCAGACAAGTAGAAGAACTTCTGATCTTATAAAAAATGCCCAAGTCTTAGCCTTCTCTGTGCGTTCTGGGGAGTGGGAAGGAGTAGTTGAGACTAAGCTGTACATAACGAAGGTGGTTGAGGAATTTGGGGACACCGAAAGTTTAAGTAGTACAATTCACGTGCCATCAATAATTAATTGATTAGTTACACATCTCGAAAAGCCGATAAAATAAGTATCATCATACTAGTTTGTGCTTGGCCTTGAGTGGCAACAGTGGTCATGTAACAATAATCCATGTATACAATATAATCTGGCCTGTACTTATTGTGACAGACCAGTATATATATATAATATATATACACAGAATCCGAGGATTCTGAGCTAATTTATTTTAATATAAGTAAACCCTGATCAAGACAAAATGCACAGGCCTGCTTCTTGTATGCCAGAGCTTATTTCTCTTTAAATCACTAAATTTCCCTCCAATGTCTAATGCATACACGGATATTACTCTTACTGATCAAACGAAATGGTACAATTCAACCTCTTGGTCAACACAACTAATATTTACAGGCCAAGTTTTCAATACATTGTTCTGAGACACGGAAATCTACTTACTAGACGTAGCATCATATTGAATTAAAGACAACCAAAGTCCAGTTCGTTAACCTCATCGTCTGCTTTTGAACAATCTATTTGTTTATAATCAGCAGAGTAAGATGTGAATCTAGGTTTAATATTTACCATCTGTATTGTAAAGGATATGTGCGCTTGAAAAAGTGTATCCGATAGTACTAGCAATAATGAACAATGACAACGAAATGCGCATATTTAAAGCGGGTGAAACTTCTGAGAGGAGAAGCTTAGAGCAATTTGTTGAATCTTTGTTAGTGTCTACAGAAGTCTTTTTATATCATGTCCATTTCTACAGAATCAAGTAATCATAGTTCATCTATTCTGCTATAGGAAATGGCTAGATAGATAACTAAAATAACTTAGACAAATTTCAAGTTGCCGAAGACATCTGATGCTGTTGGGACAACAATTTGATTTCCTCAGATTGCTCTGTCGGTATTTACATATTGCCGTTAGGTGGTTTCCCAGTATCAGCAGACTAATAAAGACCCAGAACACACTCAGGAACATGCCATGTGTACTGATCATCTTTTTCCCAGTTTTAATAATGTTAAGAAAATTTATTGTATCAATAGAATAGTACGGTTATCAAGTGTGTGATATGCACCATCAGAACACATGCTGTCTTTGTTGATCAAGTACTTTCTGTCATGTGGCAACTTGCCTGCCTGTGTGGGAAATTATCTATGTTCACCAATGGCAAATTTGGCTCTTACAGTTTGAAGGAAATGGCGATTAGAAAATGATCAAGCTTCCTACAACGATAGGATCAAGTTCCGTTCGGTTTGGCGGTTCAAGGCCGACTGTACCCAAAAGCAAACAAGAAAAGACAATATACATCAAGGACACTATCATTTGTAATCCAGTCGTGTTTTCAGAGAATACAAATCGCTTATGAGATTCAGGTTCTTTGTATTCTGCATTCTCACTTGTTGATACTACTTTACACATGCGCTCACTAATATCTGTGTCGATATTTTTCGTTGTACTTGGTATTAGTGTATGGAAGCTGACTAGTGGGCTACAGTGTATGAGGCTTTCATTTTTGGCCAGCAAATCAACATTTGACTCTGTGCTTTTCTCTACAGATGTTGAGACGTATCCATCACCCCAGTGGAAAATCGGCGAACTTGCACCCGTTAGAATGATTATCGAGGACAGTCACCATTACAAGCTTGATTCAGAGATTGGTGAAGAGGAATGGTCATTAATGCTACCTCCAAATCAAGGCATTATCTATCTGAGCAGACAGGACGAGCGTTTCACTATATCATTGTTTCATCAAATCCGATGCCTGGACAATATCCGAAGTGCTCTTGTTAGTGCTGCAAAGCAAGGGGCCAGACCAGACGCTGTAACTCGCCATTGTCTAAATTACATCAGACAAATGATTTTATGTCGTGCTGATTTGCATTTGGAGAGTATGGCGGATCCGAATGGACCTGTTGAATGGATGGGAGAGCGCACTTGCAAAGACTGGCAGACAGTATATGCTATTGTAGCAGCAAACAATAGTCATGGTTATGTTTTTGAAGTGTGTCCCGCCAATCCTTAATTTTGACATGTTGAATGACACTTCTGTAGTGATTTTTTAACCAGACAGTGCATCATCCTTACTCAGTTAAAATCAGGGTTTAGACTGCAAATGTAAGATAACTAATTGACATCTTCCACGTTTTCCTAATCATACTGACAAAGTCTATAATGAAAGCACAGGGTGCTACATATTATCATCAGGTTCTAGTGAACAGACGTATGTTGAACAATATGCATTGCTATTTAGTAGAATATAAATCCCTTGTGTAGCAATTTGTAGTGTCTAAGGACTCACATGGTTCCAGCTTTTTTGAGATCCTGTCTTGCCAGAAGTCTAGTATGCATCCATTTGTTATGCATTCGACCTCGAAAGCATAAAATACCCCTGAAGCACAAAAGAATGTCTGTGTGGAATTGCTGCTTCCTGCTGAGATAGAGAGTGGTCCGAGATGTACAGCTCGTGGAGGCTTTCCTCTAAGTCTAGAGAGATCGCTCTGTTTCTCGACATGTAGTCTCCATACATCCAAGGTGATTGAGTCTGGATTTAGTTGGAACGAATTGTTGCTATAGTCTACTGGGACTTCAACTGTGACCTTGCATTCTTCCATACCAAAATCAAGAGCTCGAGCGCCCCAGATGATTGATATCTATAGTTTAATCACAGTTAGTATTTAGTTCAATATGTGTAGTGGTAAGGCTTACTGATTCGTTCACCAAAATTCGTCTGCGCAGTGGAAAAACTGTCCCAAACTCGGTCCACAGATGAAGAGAATTGTCTTCTAATAAAATACGTTCTTGCCCTGTCGAAATGAATGACATTCAAAGGAAACGACTTTATGGACGGGGCTGTTGCTGCCCAATGCTGTAGTGAGTTACTCTGGTTCAATCCCCAGTAGCTGGTGACAAGCTCCAGAGGGCTACTCTGAATAACGGAACGCTCTATCCAATCTCCAAGTGAGGGAAACATTGAAACAACGCAACTAAAAGACGACAAAACAATGGCAAGGACAGGCAGAATGACACTCAGAAATTTCGAGCTTGTGTATCGTGGTCCCGCCGTCGAAGGTGGAGTTGCTTGTGGATCTGTTATTATATCAATATGAAGCGTGGAAAGTTGGCTGAAATGCATTGTATGCTGCCTTACGGAAATAATTTGCTGCCTGTTCATCCGTGCTAACAAGCTGATATTGCTCATTATACGCTGCATATTCTGAACGAGAGACAAGGGAAGGCATGACTGTATCTTGGAAGAGTCGAGTCGTCCGGGTGTTACAACTCTCCGAGCACAGTATATGGACAATGATGAGCAGTATTAGCAATTAATATGAATGCCGGCCCGATCACATCTCAGGTATAGCATGTTAGTATCCTGCATCATGTTTCATCCATATCATCTGGAACAAACTCGGAACAAAATTTGTCGAAGAACACTGACTGTTCATATTACTGTAATCAAATCCTGTATCTGGTCGAATTCTCAAGCCTTAATTCGTTCCTTTTTAACCTTCGTGGAAGACTTGTCTTGCTTACAGTTAGTGTATCCTAACATCCAGTGGACTTGCTTAGCCTCTGTGTAGTCTGAACATCTCCTGACGTCCCAATATCTTAGAGAGGAAATTAAGGATGTCCTATAAACCAGACGAACCTGCATATGTCCTTCTTCAGGAGAGGGTGAATTTTGTCTCCGTCGCTCTCGGAGGCATTGCATATGGTATCTCTTTGCATCTGCTATAGATTTTAGTCTTACTAACCATGTCCAAAAGGAATTCATTTGGCAGTTTTCGCAACGACCGTGAATTTTCTTGTCAAGGTTCCGTCAAGAGGCAAAATATCCTGGCCTTACCTTACCTTTGTTGTTGCCTTGCTTGCATGTGGAACAATACAGCTTGCTGTTTTAATAAAAACAGACGAAATGATGTTCATAGACGATAGGAACTATCCTGGTGGACCAATTGCGTTTGGTATGGCCGACTTCAGTGATCCAATACAGACAACTGGAGATGCTGCCTACATTATTGCTAATATTTTGGCGGATGGAGTTCTTGTGAGTGTGGCTGCTTTCATTATAAATTATTACTAATTTCAGTGTACCATACCAACAAGATCTACCGGATTTTTGTTCTTTGGGGAAGGAACTATCTTATTCTAGGTATCCCAGTCTTGAGTTATTTTGCAATTATTGGTAAGATTTGTTCTCTATCTGAGTCAAGACAAAGTTTAAACCAAGTGCTCTTGTAAAAAGCTTTGGGCATATTGGTTGTTTACCAGGCTGCACAACCTGGTGCAAATCTATGGATCCATTCTGAAATCCCAATTGTTGTACCATATTGGTCCTTATCCATAGCCCTCAACATAGTCATCACTCTTGCAATTGCTTATCGCATGCTCAAATCTCGAAGAACAGTCATACAGACACTCGGTCAGGAACACTCCAAGATCTACACCTCAGTCACTTCAATGCTTATTGAGTCTGCGGCTCTTTACTCTGTTACCGGGATTGTTTACATTGTCTGTTATGCACGGAACAGTACTATTCAGAATGCTGTACTCCCAATAATGGATCAAGTTGTAGTAAGTGGCCAATTCTGTTCTCTAGACATGTGAATATCAATACAATTCTTCAGTGCATTGCACCCGAACTTATTGTGATGAGAGTTGCTCTTGGACGAGCATGGTCAAGGGATACAACCATCCCTGTTGATGCTATCAAGTTTGAAAGCCCGCCGTCAGATTTGAAGGCCAGACGAAACGATACATATAACTGCTCATCTGCAACCGTGATTTCCGGTTCAGTATCTATGTATGGGGAGCAAAGTCAGATTGGTGGAAGGCTTGAAGAGCAAGAATGTTGTGTTTGAATGTGAAGGTTTCTGCCTAGTTTAGTACAATAAATTAAGCAATTTATCAAGACTTGTCTCATGTATTTACACATAGTGACTTATAGTGTGTACACTGACTGCCTTCAACTATATGTATGCATGATATGCAGTGTCCAGCTCTGAATGCCACCAGTTCTACTGAATACAAATTGTAAAAAGTATATGCAAGGTTTCTGCATTCATGATCTTTATAATTCATTTACATATTGCTTGAAATCTGCAAGGTTCTCAGAGAAAGCAGTATAAACGGCAGTCCAATCCTTGCAAACATGCGTTGCTCCAACCCGGTCGACTTCGAAATCTCGATCCAATGGGTCGAACCTCTCGAGTGTGAGGTCTGGATTGCAAAGTGTCATCTGACGGATGTAGTTCAAACAATGATGAGAGTGTTGAAATGCTGTGGGTGTTTCGTTGATGAGTGCTGCACGTATGATTCGCAAGCAATGTAGTTGGTGAGCCATCGAAATGCTGAACATCCTACGATTTGGACCAAGGCGAACAAAACCTGCACCAACAGGCTTGTTTGAGGCCCAATCATGGAGTGCTATAGGACCTTCAATAGGATAATGGAGTGTTTCTTCTACAGCCATGGCGACGTTTTTCAGATTTGGGATATACCATTTCTCTGGATAATCATAACCTTGGAAAGCTGAAGTTATATGTCAGTACTGATGAATACACTGTTCCTTCTATGACATACTATATTTTCTCTCCTTCAAATACGGTATAAACACAATGAGTGTAGAGACGATGGAACATGTAAGTGCTATGAGCTGCAGTGCAGGGTAGCGAAGGGCACGCATTGCAAGAGGAGCTGCTTGTCATGAGTTGTGTTTTGTGATCGATTAAAACGTTCGCATCGTGGTCATCGCGCAATACACTTACCTTTCCAAATGGACTATGGTAATTATATCTATAAATAGAACTATAAAAAGAACTATCACCAATTTGCAAAAGATTACTCTAGCGCTAAAAGCACATCAGTACAGTGATCTCTAAGAAAAAGTAATATCAGGAGGCCGATGGTATGGGAATCGGTTTCACCTTCAACAATAGCTGCCTACATATTCTCAGCTTCCATTCTGATGCATCTGGTCTTGGAAAGATATCAGAGGCAGGTATTTTGATCAGCAAGGAGGAACAGTATGCTCTACATGATGTTGATGGCTATTGGTTAGTGCTCCGCGCGTAGCGTATACGCTTACACGCGTAAAATTTCCCACGTATACGCATACGCGCGTATAATTACGGGCGTAAACTGGGTCAGCAGGACCCATATACAATACACTACTTCCGTATACAGCGTATACGGCGTATACGCTGTGCCAAATATAACAAGATACTTTACATTAAAATAGCTCATAAAAGTACACTATCATCTTTCAAAACAAATGCTTGATATTACTGAGCTAAGAAAATGTATTGTAGTGCTGTTTACACACAGAAATAAGACAGTTGAGTGTTGTGAGTTAATATCACGTGACAGCTCTAAACCTTCATGTGATGTACCGTAGTAACCATACTAACCATAGTACTCATACTAGTACTTTTTAAGTTAAACAAGGTTGTTATATAGTATTAAAATGATTTGGTATATAAATAAGTAAAGTAAATGAGGTTTAGAAACTCAAACTTAGTATTTAATTAGAGAATATGCTTAGTAATACCGTATACTTGTATACGGCATATACGGAAATTTTTTACTCATGGTATACGCATACGCGCGTAAATATACGCCCGTATTTTCAGCTAAAATTTTCTCTTACGATACGGTGCGTAAGCGTATACGCTGCAGGCGTATCCGTAAATTACGCTACGGTGCAGAGCACTACTATTGGTCTGAACACAAGACACCGAGCAGTAACTTCTAATCTAAGATGTGAAAAAAATGGAAGGACGGAGCTGTGTTAGTGTACTTGGATTTTCTCCGGCACGTACATTTTTAGCCTCTAACCACGCTAGCTGTGCAAAGACACTACCTTGGATATGATATGATGATAACGGCGAAGGGATAACACCGATGCACGGCAGATCATCGCCCACGTTCTTATGAGTCACATGATACCAATAGCTCACTACTTAGAAACAGCAGCAAGTTGAGGCCAAAGTATACTACAAAGTTCTAACCCTCTGCAGTGTTCCATTTTATACTCTTTTCTTATGTCTACACAGAGTTTTCCGGGTGTTTCATTTGAAGTGCTGGACAAGAATGCGTCGCGTAAGACATTCCCGCTCTTTTCCCCTTAATATTATCTTATATTCAATTGCAACTGAAGAAACGGACATTGAAGAGGCTACGAACATTTTTGTCAATTTGCATGCTGAAGGTATGTGTAATAAATATTGATCATCCACCATAGACTAGCATAATGTTGTACTTTACTAGATAAAAGCGCATATTATTGTATAGGTGGACAAATGAATTTATTGCCAGATGTTTTCCGCTCGCACATCAAAGCGGGGCTCGTTGGAGGGCTTGTCTACGTGGCAAGGCACAAGTCAGATGGGATTATTGGCCTTGCCGCCTGGTTCGGGCCTGGCGCAGAGCTCTACACAACGTACCTTTTCAATTGCATGTCATTGGCTCAATTATTAATAACTTATCACATCTCCAGGCCTGAACAGTGTGAAGCTGGTTTCAATAAGTTGATGGCTGATATTGCTGAAAAAGATCCCGATATGCAGATATGGTGGACTCAATATGTATGTTCGGTGCTCTATAAGTTTTCTAATACTTTAAAGAATTCTGAACATCAATCATAGTTTCTTCCAAAATACGGCGAGTTTGCCAAGGAGGCCTTGGGTGGTCCTGAATACAAGCGGGATGGCTGGACTCTGTCAATGATTGGTGTGAAACGTGAATATCAGCGACGGGGAATTGGTACAGAGTTTATTATGCTTGTAGAAGAGAAGGTAGGTAGTTTTTGATTTTCCTACACTCGGGCAAACCAGGAATTGGATTCTCCACAATATTAGGTTCGAAATGAAGTAGAGGAGAGCGCTAGGCATATGACAGTTGATACCGAAACGGATGAAGCAGTACGTTCCGTATCTCTGTTTCACTCATTCTGACCTGATGAGTCGAGTATTTGTTTATTCAGCTCTCCTTCTATCTGAAAGTCGGATTTGTTGAAAGGGGAAGAATCGAGATCGAGGCTGAAAAGAAATTTAACGGTAGTTTTAGGCAAGTGTGCCTAACCAAAGACGTAGCCGCTGCAACCAGTTAAGTACGTTCTACCCTTTTCGTCTGGGTTTCCACTTCGAATGGTTGCGGCGCTGGCCTTGGGAGAACGATAATTTCAAAAAATGACAACTTTTGCACATAAGGTCACTTCAAAAAGGTACTTCAGCATTCAAGCAAGGACTTTCGGGTAGCTTTTAAACAGGATCTTGTGTTCTCGTTGGAGTAAATTGAAACGTGAATCATCCTAAGGCAAAGAATCAGTAAATAGTTCAACCCCAGGAGCTGATGGAGAAGCCAACTATCTTTGCAGTGGGACTGCACCATCCGGAGAGGTCAATTGTGCGTCCTCCGAGGAAGAACCGGTAGTCGACTATGGATCAAAAACTTGCCTCACAATCTAGTACTAAAGAACCCAGGTAAACGTCTCCTGCTGACTGATGTCTACAGCACATGAGCCTTGCATGTATAGACAACGTGATCATATGGGCAATAAGATGATAAATTAAGCCTATTCATATACACTTCTAGTTCAATGTTTAACTTCGGTAAGGCTTAATGGAACCGGCAATCCAACAAAAGAGGAGTAATGAATCCGCACTAGACACGAAAACATCGCGATCAAAATATAGCAGCCCAATCGGATAGGCTATAAGGCGTCAACCCCAACCAAATTATGGTACCCAAGGAACAGCCGACGTATTCGGACGTCATAGCACACACGATTGCGCTTGTATAAAAGCGTGGGTATATGTAACAAAGGCCAAGCGCGTTGTAACGACTTTCCGGAACGACAAAACATGAGCAAGACGTCAGTGTTGATCATTGGAGTAACGGGCAGGACAGGGAAAAGTATTGCCGATGCATTGCTAGACCAACCAGATTTCGTACGTATCCAATATGTTGTTTTAAACTCGTCCACGGGTTCTCCATTCACTTATACACAACTGCGTAGCGCGTCGTTGTAGCGGTTCGCACGTCGTCCCTGGAGAAACCGGCAGTGGCTGCTTTGAAGGCCAAAGGAGCAGAAGTAAGGGAGCTAGACCTTGAGGGTGCAACACATGACCAGCTCGTCGCGATTCTCAAAGATATCGATATCGCCATTTCGTGCATCGATTTCGACAAACTCCACCTCCAATATCCACTGATTGACGCAGCAAAACAAACCAATCTAAAAAGATTCATTCCGAGCGATTGGTCGCCGGCTTGCAAACGAGGTGTTCGTGCTCTTCATGATGAGGTACAGTTGACTGAAATAAGTAACATTTCGAGGAATTTTACAATACTAATGAAGGAATTAGAAACTTGCTATACATGAGTACATTGAGAAATCGGGCATTGGGCACACCTTCATCGACACCGGAGCATGGTCAGTGCCTTAGCTTACTTTAATAGTGCGACTACTCACCTATAGAGTTCCTTTCTTTAAAATAAAATAAAATAAAATTTCGGTTTTATAGGAGTCATCTATCCCATGACATCGAGAAGCGGATATTTGGTACTGGGGATGTTAAATCTGCGATCATAGATATCCCGGATATAGGAGCCTTCGTTTCCCGAATCCTACGCGATCCACGCACACTCAACTGCTACGTCTTTTGCTATGCTGAGGAAGTAACACAAAACGAGATCCTAGTTTTATCGGAGCGGATATCAGGCCGGAAGTTCGAGCCCAAGCGTGTCAACGAGGAAGAAGTCAAAGAACTTAGGAGAAATGCTAAAGGTGTCGAGTTTGCTATGTTGGATTACGTGCTGAGCCTTCGGTTTCGGGGAGATAACACGATCGCTAACGCCAAGACGGCAGAGTATGGAGGTGCATTAGACGCTAGAGAGCTCTATCCGGATTTCAAACCACGTTTGTTGGAGGATATCGCAAAGGAGTTCTATGGAGTTCCTTCTACCTAGCAACGGTGACGGACCGGTGTAATAGATGTTGTCAGACCATAACGTCTTCTACCTTGCAAATTTTTAGAAAACAAACCTTGAAGTTGAATAGATTCATTCCGCATAACGCCCTATGTAGATTAGCAGATCTCAAACTTAGAATCGGAACGAGAAACCTTAGATTATGCATTCACATAAGCCATAGAGACTGGGTGGGACGTAGGACGAGCAGAAGGCAAATAACTGAGGTCATTCGTATTGCCTGGTCGAATGAATGAAGGAAATTCGTATTTCCCAGAGCAGATAAACATTAGCTGATAGTTAAAGGGCCGAAAATAAACTCGCGACGGGCACAGATTAGCGTCTTTCTCAACATACGCGTGCTCGGCATGAAGTAGCTAGCTGGAATGGTACAAGAAGTCATTATTGCCTCCGCATGTTTAAGACTTGGGCTGTCTGCCCAACCAAAGGCAGCAACGAAATGAAAATTACTTAACCCTTACAACCAGCGTACGCAACCGCACAAGAGTGTGCCAACTCTGGCACTCCTAAATATTCTCCTGTATTCGCTGGTCAACCCTCACATTCTCCGCAACGTCTGAGACGTGGCTATGTTTAATAATGTAGAGGACACGTCACCTAAATGAAACCTGCAGGTGATCAGTCGCGAGCCCGTTGAAAATGTCTAGACGCGTGTCGTCGTTCGTGTCAAATTCCGCTATCCGTCGTTAGATGGCCGGATCTAACACAAAGGAAAGAAAAGTCCATTATCTGTATATGCGTATCCAAGACTAACCATTCCGACGTGGTGGAGAACAAGAGACAGATTATTGTCGACTTTTCCCGTTATGTAATAAGGAACGTGGCACAACGCGCAGGGTGACGCAAAGAGTCTTCAAGTCCAACGACACATAATTCAAGTTCACGTCTGAATATCTACATCCGTAAATCGTACTTCATTATAAATACCCTTCTAAGCTCGCTAGCGAGTTGATTTATCCCTTGTCTCTGTTCGAGGGATATAGTGAAAACTGCTAAAATATGGTAACAATCCACCTTCTGGAACGCTAGTACTCCTGGTCAATTTCTTCGTTTAATTCTCGTCGTTTACCGACCGGTTCATCTCCATGTTCCGGGGCGTAAATTGTGCATCCTCTGCGTGGTGGTCGTGGCTGGAATGCGAAGCATCGGTAGTGGCCACTCTGGAAGAAGAAGCAGCACCATTCAGCTTGCGCTTCTTGCTCATGTGCTTCTCATTAACGCTCTTTTCCCCTTTGGTACAGTCAGGAAGGAGCCCAAGCTCGCGTTTCAGTTCATCAGTCGAACGTTCTTCGCTGTTAAATACGTCAAGACCTCTCCATACTTAACTATATGCGCTGCTGTACTTACGCTGCATCGATCTTAGCAAAGATAGGTGTCTTGGCGAATTCCCGCAAGACGTCCTCGGAGAAATACAAATCTTCCGCATCGTCGTCGCTGTCTGCGGGCCCATAGAGAAAGCCTGGCCGTGAATATTCGTGCATAATTAGGGTCCGTCCTAAAAAAAATAACAATACTTGCTCACTGTTCAAATCCGTAATCATTTTGCGTGGTCGCTGTTCTTCGGGCGAAACTCCTACAGCCTCCTGTGTACCTTCAGACTGCATTGTAGCGTGTATGGAAGGGAAAGAACCAACGAAGGCTCGTTTACGCACCTTGTTTAGGTTGATGACAAATAATTTGCTCGTTATCCCGTAAAAGTTAGATCGTAGCTCACGATTGTGCCTCCATCGATATCGCATTGACGAGTCTCAGGGAAACAGACCCAATCGTAGATTAAACAACAGAAGGAATGTTCGTTGAGAAATTATCCAGCTATCATATCTGATGTCGAAATGATTCAATATACGAGTGAATGAATAGTCTTGTGTCATAGAAGTGATAGACCAACGCTGAGTGCATTGAACTTGTGGACAGGAAAATTGTGCTCAAGGAATGTATATCCGCAGATTTCCGCAGAAACAATAATTTGTAGGCGACTGATTATAACATGAATGGGCCTCCACCACCATGGTGGTACCGAAAGCAGATGATCAAGATTCGGCTCACAGGCAACTGAACATAAAGTCACTTCGAATCGACGACAAGTGTTGTACAGAATAGCGACGCACGCTTGTAGTTCTTATATTATGGAGAACGCGGCCTGTCGTGAACAAAACTGTAACATGGATATACAGAAGGCTTTTCAACTGTATGCGCGCACCTTTTCTTTCGGATAACACACTGCGCATGTGAGTCGCCTTGAACCGTTTGAACTTCCAGTAGAGACTAGTACTCAGCAATCTCTGAGTTCACAAGTTACATCAATTGCAAGTTGGGAAAAACTTGCACGACGCAATTTGAACTTTAAAAGGAGAAAGCCAAGCCAAGCCAACATAGGAATGCATTGTAGATATATCCCAGCAAGTCTCTCTGAGAGTCTCAGACAGACAGACACATACGAGACGAGGCACAGATCGGATTAGATAAGCGACGCATTCGATTCTTTGAATATTACGTAATCCGCGTCGTACCAACGTCCTAACTTCCAATCCAGTCAGTGAGTTAACATAAATTTACTTGAAGGCACACGACTCCTTGTGATTTCTCGCACAACTTGTCAGTCCAACTCTTTCATACGTCTGTCAGGACCTCCCTGGCCGTCTGTACTCTTCTGAAAGGCCATGTCAAGATCGTCATACTCTTCTTGGCCGCAAAATGAAATTTTGGGGATACCCTAGATCACGGACAAGACCTTCTTCCGCTCTTTCCACGTACAATCGGTCTTTGACAATTTCCTGAGTACCAATGCAAATCTGAACGTCCATCGCTGACAGATAGGGTCTCGAAAGTATCACCCTTCAGCGAATCATCTTCTCAGATATACATTACTTCGTGTCTTGATCTGTGCTATGCTACACGAAGGCAGAGCATTGACAGGCTGCTCTGAGTCAACAAATTGCTCGTCTACTGCGTAGAAATAAGACAGGCTTTGATCATAATGATCACATGGAAGTAACGTCCATTCGTGACTTGGATCTCCGCGGAGCTTGTCTGGTAAACAGCTGAAGGTCTACACACATGTAGGCGAATCTATCAATGGAAATCCATCTTTGAAATTAACTAGACCTGTCGCTTGTTCTCACTGTACATTTCCCGCGGAAGTCCTTTGTCGAGCATTTCACAAGGCATGCCCACTATTTCCAGACAACTTCACGTTTTCCCTATCTGTGCCGTTCAAATATCAAAGAGAAGAATATCAAATTGCACCCGATTTCACTAATTTCAAATAACTTAAATTCCATTGGATGGGAGTAAGTTTAACTGTATGCGTACCAAGAAGCCACTACTGAGTCTAAGACCGTTTTTGTTGTAAATTATGTATGAAACAAAGGTAAGGAAGCCCAGTTTCCGTGATTGTACGACTCGACCGCTCATAGATCTCACATGTATCACTGATACATGACACGAAGTCGCATAGAAAAGCACATATCCAACGATCTGAGAACACGAAGCAGTTCAAGGCTATATTCTACTAATCAGTCGTAACTTGCCCCAGCTCAGCGGTCTCAATCGAGAACAATATGAAATGATAGAATAAATCTACTATGCATTGCACGGTATAAATAGACATGATAACGAGTACAGCATTACCGCAGCAGTTAGGACCATAACTGCTCATGATGGTCGACCTAGACAAGGAACGTATGTCCGAAGGGGCGTAAGAAAGAAAGAATAAATACGTTCATCAGGTATGGCTAATTCCGAGAGGAAAAGAAGGAATGAAAGTAAAGCGAGAAAGGGTGCAAAGAGTTCAATCATGTCGAAGCGATGTCGTTGGTGCCAAATGACCCTCCGCTTCCACCTCTTCCTTCTTGTTGACATTCACAGGTGCCACTGTGTAGCGCATAAGGAAGATAACACCAATAAACATGAGCACATTCCAAGCAAACAGGAACCAAAATCCTGCAGCACGTCCACTGTAGCTGTTCGGGCCTCCGTGGGTTTGTTGAACGCTAGTCTGGATGGAAGTGATTATCGCAGCACCGGCCGCTGAGCCGAGTTGGAGTGAGCAGTTGAAGATCGCGCCGACTATTCCTGAAACTTCGGGCGGTGTGACAACGAAAAGTGCGATGCTATGCGACAACACCTCCCGTCAGTAATAAGTCGAGATGGAAGGAATAAAACAACTAACTTGGTTGTCGTGAAGACAATAAGCTCTCCACCAGAACCAATCAAGAATCCGGGGAACACGAGAGGCCAGTAACGCGACTTTGAGTTTGCGAATGGAAGAAGAATTGTACCGACGAGTGCTAAGAACTGGCCGATCAAGATAACCCATTTCAGAGGTAGCCGCTGTTGCAACCTCTGCGCAATACCCATGATAGGGAATGTAACGAGACCCACGGGCAAGCTGCGGAAAAAATAAGATAAATCCTAAAGCGAAGAGTGAAAAACTTACAAGTGTACTGCCGTGATAATGGTAGACCATCTGTACACTTCTTGGAAGAGCCATGAGAAGAGGAGTTGGACAGATGCCCACCACATGAAAGGCTGCAAGCCCAAAAGGACGAGAATAGGGAAGTTTGGGTACTTCCAGATCGATGGTGGCCTGTGTCAATTAAAATCATTAAAAGCGTCGAACATGGACATGTTAAAAATGGACTTACACGGAAGCAAACTTCTCGGGAATCTTTGACTCCCAGAATCCGAAAAATGCGGCTAGGACAACCGAGACTACCAGCGGAGTAATAACTTTCGCATTTCCCCAACCATCTATTGACCCTTGGGTAACAGCGAAAATGAACAGAATGAGGGCAACTACGAAAAGTACGGTATTTATTTAGATTCTGTGTCACAAGAATTTAGTCTTACTGGTCAAGGAAGTAATCCCAACTGGGTCAAGTCGCTTAAATTGTTCGCTAATCGAGTAGCCCTGCTTGCTTTTACCGTCACCCAAGTCCTTGTTTCGCAAAAGGAGCAATGTTGCAACTGCTAATACGAAGCAGAGGATTGTGCAGAAGTAAAGGACCCAAGGCCAGCTCGCGTAGTTCACGAGTAGAGCACCGATAATCAACCCAAGGACTATGAGATAAAATGGAGCAAGAGTGAGTCCTCCGCAATACAGGTGTTGTGATATTAAACCAAATCTCACCATTTCCGAATCCGGATGCACCAGAGAACGCTGCAAAAGCTGAAGACTGTTCCGCAGGTTCGGGGAAGAGGCGAACAATAAGACTCATCGCCGAAGGAATATTCAGCGCAGCACCTAAAACATTAAATCAGAGACTATTTTCTGATTAACAATAATTACTTTTCATTACCAACTCCCATGAAAGCACGAAGGACTAGAAGCGGAACTTGTGTGCGAACAAATCCTGCACCCAGGGCAGTAAAAGCCATAAGGAGCATTCCAGACACGAAGATCCATTCTGCGCCAAGTAGTTAGCACTGGAATTCGCACTAGAACTAAGCAACGCGTACTTGCGTTGTATAAGTCGCTCAGACGACCGCTCTGATGCAAAATACGTGACTTAGCTCCGGAAATTCCTTAAAATGTTGGAACGGGACTTACACTAAGTAGAAGTGCAGCGTACGTGAGCTGGTAAGCACTAATAATCCACACTGAGGAACTGTTGGAGATGTTCAAGTCTTGAGCAAGTGGCGGAATTGCTGCGAAGAAAGCCGAATTGTTGAATGCATCAAGGAACTGCGCAGAACAGAATATGAAAAGGAGGGTATTCTTGACTGCCTTAGAGAATGCTGGAGGAGCTGGAGTCACCGTGACCGACGGAGGTCCCGAGGCGGCGTCAGACTCGGCCTTCTGCTTTGGCGCAAGCTCGATCGAGGACATGGTGTTGCAGGACTGGGATGGCGGATGTAGAGAGACACGCGCACCGGGCCTTTGACTGCGCAGTTAGGGCGTATGTTATTTTTTGCGAGGTCGGGTCTAGCTTGCATACCGGACATCATGTTCCAAAGATGGCTATCGATAGATGACAGGCGCCTGGATTCAGTGCTCCGAGGACGCCGTATCAGCAGCATGCTAGAACAACGAGCAAAGGACCCCAAGTATCAGTACAGCTTATCTTTGTCACAATTGGCTTTACTAGGCATTGCAGTCTTCGCAAGGTGAAATTTCACAAAGTTCGCTAATCGCCGCCAACAAAAAGAACCCCCAGGGCGTTCTGCTAACGTCTGATGTGCGAGAAAACTGCTTTTGCAGAGGAACAGGCCATAATGGGCACAGAATCTACGGATCTACATTGAGAATCCGACGAGCTTGCTGAGTTCCTCGCCTGTTCAGACTTCTCGCAGGAGAAGCGAGACACGGCACCAAATATAGCCACCTTTCCGCAACAAGATAATGGAGGTTGATGGCTCTACCTTGAGGCTGTGTGGCTTCTGGCACTGGAGAACAGATGCCGATGGCGGGCAGTTGAGCACGAAGCCACACGTTCCTGTAATTAATCGTGGACGAAAGAAGTCTTTGGCCTTTAATGCGGAAAAAATGCGATCACGTCGGCTAATGTGTAATTACATAAGAAGTCGGTTCAGTCAAGAGACTCAGTCAAGACCTCTTCTTGTGAAAAATTGTCTCTTCGGCGAGACAGTATCTCAAGTGAGCGGTGTATGCTCGGCGTGAGCACCGGTAGGAGTAAGCGGATGATTTCTAGACAGTTCCGGAATCGTTAACCCGATCACCACATGCAAGAGTTAGACTCATTGTTATGAACTGATGTGCACATTCAATCTCCAAAAGATGATTGAACCTAACGATCCTGAACTTTCTGCCTTTCTAATGCCACTTATGCTTCCCTTCTGGCGAGTGTCCAAGGCTTCCAAATGTGACTTGCATGCATGCCATCATCTTCTTTGTAATTTACTCTGCAGAAATTTCTCATATCATGTCGCCCGGGCATGTCCCAAGAACACTCATAGCTAAGCGATGTAGAAAAAGCTGCATTTATACTAGACGTCTCATAGTTTACATACAATACGAAGGCGTAGTATCCCGCGAAAGAAGAAAGAGAACGAGAGATCACGGATACAACAAAGAAGGGAAAAAAAGAGCATGGATCCAATAAAAGAACACAGCTTAACCGTGTGATACCTACGATGAAGCAAAACTGGCAACGTCGGTGTGAGACCGAGTTGCAAATACTAGCCAGACTTTGGCATAACTTGTTCATAGCAGAGATAATCAGAGCAAGCTTTGCAGAAATGCAAGCTGAGCATTGATGTTCACGTCGAAGCCCTGAGACAAAAAAATTAGCAACAGTAGAAGTACAAAACGCGACATTTACGAACTTTTCCTCCGTGGAGAATATCGAAGTGGGTTCCGGGTGCTTCAACCAGCCTAACTTCTGTAATTAATTCATCGTTAGCACCACACAAAAGTATGAAACAGAAAAAACAGTCAAGACTCACTTCCGTCTGCTTGCTCCACAAGTTTTCTCGTAACAGCCAAAGGGATCATATCATCTTCCTTACTAGCCACAACAAGAACAGGGCATTTTGCGTCTTTCAATTTTGCACCTGGTCTGCTTGAAAGCAGGTCGAAAGAGAATCGAGGTGCGATCGTATTTGGATATTCTGCGAAAGGTTTGCCACTCTGCGCAAACATGAATTCGAATCCTGGGAAGATCATCTCATGAGCCAACGTTACCAGAAGAATATAAAAAAGAAGATCCTGACCTGGAGCTACACTAGGAGTGTCAAGTAAAGCAAGCTCTCCCGGATTTCCTGCACACTTAATGAAGAGTGGTGATAGACCGATTTTTGAACGTATCCAGTCGACGGCAGCCCAGAACAGTAACCTTGGTTTTGGTTCTCCAGCCATCAGCGTTGCATATCCTACGGGGATACTTCAATTTCCATTTCTTGTTAGTTTTCGTGACCGAAAAGACACGCACCATCCATCAATGGACAATGTCCCATAGCACCTGCCAACCCAGGCTCCTCAATCGCCAAAGTCGCCATAACGAGCCCACTCGACGCACTTCCCATCACCACGATCTTGTCAAGATTGAATAACTCTGGATGCTGCCTCGCCCATTGAAGAACGGATCGATAATCCTCAACCTGCTTCTTTATGACAGCCAAATTCCTCGGTTCGCCATCTGAGTCACCAAAGAACCGAAAGTCCAGGATGAGAGACGCATAGCCAGCTTCTGCCCAGCGTTCACCAAAAGGCTGGAAGCCTGCTGCTTTGACAACCGTCAAGCTAGATGAGGGTGTATGATAGAGAAGGAGGTTCGTCTGTCATTTCAGCATGTCATTTTTTCCGGTAAAACTGGACGTACCCTGGTCCAGCTACTATAACAGGAAAAGGCGCGGGACGAGCCGGCTTGTAGAGCCAGACATCGAGGTTTACGCCCCGATCGACGCTTGGAATCTTGACCGTCTCCCGAGTGAAGCTCATGGGTGGTCGTCGCTTGACTGATGTACGGCGTGGGCAGGAGACGGCTTTATATACCCCTGAATCACCGAGAGCGTGAAAGAACCTGATTTGAATAGTTGAGGGTCTGCGTTTGCCGATCACCGCGCTCCTAGTTAGATCATTCATAGACAAAATCAATTGCAAACTGATTTCACGAACTTCAACGTACAGACAAAACAACAGCTACGGGACAGCATCTACGAAGTACAATTGTGTAGAAGAAACATTATATAATAAAAGCCAAAAATCACAGTGACGGCCACGCCGTTCAACAAACGGCAAGCATCAACTCAGCCCACTTCTTCATCCATCCTTCAACCACCTCGGGCTCGACGGCCTTTTCATTGTAATCAGCGCTAAGCATGATTCGGCCATTCCACTCGGTAGCGCGGAAGAATCTAGATTTTGACAGAAAAATCTCAGATTAACAATTTAAGTATCGATTTTTACGCGATTAAGGCACTCACGGTCCAGGGTCGGTTTTGTTGAGACCAACGAAGAAGTCGGTGACCTCGATGACTGTATTATTGCTACCCTGAGGGTACTTCGGGCTTAAGTAGATTGCTCCGCGACCGTCACCTCCGAACCACGGACCGCACCAGGGCGGCGGAGGTGGAGCCGATAGCATCATCTCCACTTGTTGATTTTCAATTGCAAGGAGGGACGGGAAAGCAGCCTGGCGCTTATACTCTTTCTTGACAAATTGCGCAAAGTCCATGATGACTGCCTTCAAGTTATTGGTGACATCTCCAGAATACTTGTCGACGAGGTTTACTGGAACCTGGATAGAAGACATGCCCAGACAGTAGCCTGGGTAGCCTGATGCTCCGCGGTACTCTTTCGCCAAGCGCTGCCTAGAGTCGACAAGTCCATAGTAAAATACAACGTTTGGCGAGCCCGGCGCAGGTGGGTTGTCAATAACCGTCAGCACTGACAGAGCGCCATGAGCTGTGTATGCGTCACAAATTAGAGTTCATGCAAATTGAATATATTAGGATAAATGCTTACCCAAATGATTGACCGTCAATCGGTCCGCAGCTTTCTGGCAAGCTTCAATGACTTTCTTAGAGTCCTCGACTGAGAAGGTGTAACCAGCGCGACGGTTGGATGGTTTGTCCTTTGTCATATCGTACGGTGGGTTCTTAAGCGATTTGAACGGATGCCCGAGCTACAATAGAACATAAAGTTAGAATAATTCGCTCAAAGTTACGTCAATAAACTCACTGGACCACCCTTTGCCAGGTCCGTCATAACCTCATTCAGCGTTTCCAGGTATTTCGGACCTTCTCGAGGTTCTTCCGGTTCTTCCGGCTTGACGACGTTTCCAGCTGCGTCGACCTCTGCCGGCTCGTGCTTTCGAAGAATCTCAGACGCAATCGGAAGCAGATGGTTGTTCTCCGTGCCCCACTTGAAACGTGAGGCCTCAGCAGCAGCGTATTGTGGATCGGTAATATATTTCGAGAGATGTTCGAGGAGCTTGGTTGTGATAATCTTGACGCCGGCTCCGTCAAATGGAACATGAGAAGTGTGCAGGAGGAACCCGAAAGAGGTCGACGAGAATGGAACACCGTACAGATAGGTGTGTGGTACGAGGTCTTTGTCTGGGATGATGCCTCGTCCAATGTCGTAGCGGAGCGCATCCAGATCCTTGTAGCCTTCTTTCAGAATGACGGTCTCCTTAGCCCATGCGTCAACATCTGCGCTGCCCGTCGGCAACGCGTATGCAAGGAGTGCAGCGGGCATGGGGGAGCCCTCGCGAGGTTCATGAAGAATCTGGGACGCGACAGTTGGAACATCCCAACGGAGCGAGGTCCAAGCTTTGCGAGCAAGGTCAATGAACTTGGAAGACTCAAGTGGCTGCGAGACCTGAAGATAGACGCCGAGGAAGAGATTTTGCTCTCCCTGTTTGAAAAAGTTCCAGACGTCCTCAATGAGCTCGCCACCACCGACCTCCCGCTTGTAGAGGCCTGGGACTTTGTCATCTTGGCGCCATATGTAACGGGAAAAATCAAAGGTAGCCATTTTCTCGTTAGACGTTTGCTTAGTTCGACGTAGTAGTGAGACGATGTTCTGAATGGAGCGGCGGAGCTGTAACACAAGGCGCTTTAAAAGGGAAGACATTACGAAGAATGATGCAGGACAGTATCGGACAGATGCGGTCAAGGCTGAACAAAACAGGTAGCGCGCAGCAGAGAAAAAGCCCAGTGATGTCTATCCTTGCACAGATGGGTGCATAATTGATTTAGTACGCAGAGTCATTTGGGTCGACTCATGGAGAAGTCGAGTTTTCGTTCTGATCTCTCTTCACATCAACGTTTAGTCCATTCTGTCCTGGCGAGGCAATCTTCACTGCATCACCCTCGGACTGGGTGGGCTGGACTTACGATTATGCGGCGCCGTTCATGACAGAAGAAGATAGGAGCTGATGGATGTGCGTGATGGTAACATGCCATGGAAGGTGTTGTTTATGAGGAATATCCTGAAACGGGAAATGTAAAGAAAGACAGGGTCGCTCCTGGGGTCCCTGAACTAGACCAGCAATAATTTGAAATTGCTCGTGGGAATTGACGTGTGACAAATCATGCGAGCATGCCGTACTTCAGCGCCTGTGAACGCCACGGAAAGATTGCGGAACATAAAACACAACAGATTGCTGGATTCACATGCACGGGCATCTGTCGTCTAACTTTGATTGCGATCGCTCTAGTTAGTCGATAGTCAATGCGGTCAAGGACGGCCAGAAGACAAAAGGGATCTTTAGGAAGCCGTCTACAATTCAGTCATCCATTTCGTATCAATCCGTTTATCAATTGCACATTATGTTTACCCATCGTATCCTTGTTCCGTGATTGTGCTATTCGTGGCCAGGGGGAAGCATTGCCGGTCTCACGCGACCTGTCCGAATCGACCAGTGTTCCTGGGTAGTCCGGGCGCAATCGTTCACGACGTTCACTTCAGAGCCATATTTCTCGCAGGCTGCCATTATGTACTTCGCGACGTTCCAGGTGCATCAGCCATCAGCACACGACGAACTCACGCTCCAGGCGGGAGCCATTTTTAATCGATACTCCGCCAAGCTGTCGTAATTTGTCCATACCCCGAGCGCACGGATTACATATTCGACCACACACATACACTCGGGCTCGCCCACTCAAGATCCCAGATTACCCTTCCTATACCTCCTATACTCCTTCCAGCACCCTTCATCGTCGTGTCATGGCGTCCCCTGTAGATTGCTCAGCTCTTCCGAATCCCGAGACGCCTCTTGCATTCCTCCCGCCGAATATCGCGTCGCAACTGGAAGTCTCGCGTTATATCTATGTGGCGAGTCTTGGGGTATGTATGGTCAAATTTCACAAGTACTGCTCCTAACAGCCAGATAGGCGTTTATCTGGGATATCCTGTCCAATGTACCTTCCGACTACAAGCTCCTATTTAAGCACAGGATTAGTCTTCCAACTGTCGTTTACTTCTTCTCGAGGCAAGTAGTCTGGCTTGTGCAATTTCACAAATTTTGACATGCATTACTTATTCTATTAGAATCACTGCTTTTGCTTATGTTGTTACGAGCACCGTGTTTCAAAGTAAGCTAGTTCAAATTGCCCCAAAGATTGAAATATTTACGAATTATCTGCAGTCGGAAGTGTAGGGGACTGTCAAGCCCTTCAAGTCGCTTTGGCTGTCTGCTTCGTACTTGCAGTCTCCTCAACGTCTCTACTCTTCTTCTTCCGTATTCGCGCGATTTTCAACGATGAGAAACTGGTCGTCGCATTGTTTGGCTTCTTGTGGCTCTGCGTGTTCGCGGGATGCATGACTGTTCCGTTTGCCATACAAGGAACTCACATTGGTCCGACCGTGTTCTGCGTCAACAGTAATGTCAAGCCGTACAGTTCTGCTGGGATCGTTATCTCTGCAGTCAATGATACGCTCGTATTGATTGCGATCTCTTTACGTATCCTGTACAATGCGTCTATCGATGATAACGTCGGTGCACGTGTCAAGGCATTCTGGAACGGAGGCGCTCTTCCAAACCTCTCGAAGAGTATCTTGCAGAGTGGACAGCAGTACTATCTGTTAGTCTATTCTACGTTCTCCAGCGCAAAGGTGGATGAGATCTAACCGTTTCTCTTTTTTTAGTATTACGGTCGGTGGAAACATTCTTACCATGGTAATGATCCTCGCACCGTCCGTGGCCCCTGTATACAGAGCAATGTTCACCATTCCGAACGTGATGATCGAAAACTCCATGGCATGCAAAGTGTTCCGAGACATCAAGTTTGGTCTCATCGAACCAACAGGACAAACGACATTCCAGCGCTCGACTCTCCGTAGTGGTGGGATATCTAATTCCGGCTACACAGGCTATTCCACACGATATGGCCAGCGCACTGGGCCTAAGGAGACATACGATACAGTACTTGTTGGAAGTGATGTGACGTCTACGACCGTCGAGCCATACCCTGGCAGACAAATGCCAATGGAACTCAACCTCGTTGGCACGGGTAGTCGCCGACCGTCCTCCACGTACGAGCGCAGTGCGACGGACGTGAAGTTCGGTGGTGTTGATGTGTGATGGTACGATTGTTTGTATAACAGTTGTAGTTCTGTTGTACTTGCTTTGGTGACGACTTTGTGATTTCTTGCTGATCTTGTGTTTACGCTCGGAAAACGACTGATGTATCGCGTTCATGTTGCTTGTATATATTGTATATATGTACAGTGGTAATCCCGATGGATTCTTTCAATATACTTATTTGTTGACCCAGCAACCTTTGTGCCTTCTGCGCGTATAATTTTTTCGATAATTGCAGAAATCCAGAGCCAGAACGATGTGTGACCGCCATTGAAGCTCGAACTAATTTCTTTTGCCTTGATATTACTGTCCATGCAGGGTAAGGCCGGAACTACTATAGGAAATGATAATCATCAGATTGGCTGTGGCTTCTCGGCCCTGACTAAAGTCGACTTTGCAATTATTATGAGATGATTAGTTGCTTCGGTTCGACTTTCTTATGTTCATTGACTGGTTTGCCTTCGTTCTGGGCATCAGTAGATTGTATTATTGTATTTACTACGTGTGTATATTGCTCAGGAGTGGCAAGCAATATTGCTGCTTTGTATGTAGAGTTGTGTGGTGGATCACTGTTAGCAGACAGAGTTGTGTATGCTTCCTCAAGTCTGTCTAATGTATGTCTGAAATGTTTTACATAGTCTCTACAAATAAACAGTGCTGATTCGTTGATAGCCTTTTTATGTACTGTCTAAGGGTTAAAGCATTCTTCAAGCACTTTCATTAACTGAGGGATAGACATATTGAAGTGTATATAGTTTGCCAATATTGTATTAGTAATGTTATTAACTATGCATGCATGAATAGCTTTAGCCATCTCCCTCTCAGCTTTGTTCTGCAGTTCATCCTTTAGTAAGTGTTCAAAGCACATAGCTGTGACACTAGAAACAATACAGTAGTGCCACATCTTGTAGTTTGCTTCAGTCTTAAGCATTATAATGTTTTGACCAAAGTATTTAGGTACATTAGCTGGTTTACAGTGTGTATCAGTATGTGGGGGAACCATGATGCAAATGTGTGCAAATGTATGCAAATAAAGAGTTTAGAGTGTATAGTGAATGTATGTATGTAGGGAGCTCAAGGCTTATAACCTGTTGAGAGGGAAAACTTAAGGGGGGCATGTATAGACAAGGGGTGAGGTGACAATTGACTGCTCAG